CACTCTGACTGGTGTGAGGTGATATCTGAGTGTGGTTTTGATTTGTATTTCCCTGATGAGGAGTGACGTCGAGCATCTTTTCATGTGTCTATTGTGTGCCCTCACAGTCTTGAATGTCATTGCTTGCTTCACTTATACTTATCCAAGATTCTTAGTATCATCCACAAGACTAAATAAGAACTCAAGATTTTTTGACAAAACTTTCTGCCAATGCCCACAAATCTTGGCTGTGGTTTCCCAAATTCTTTGATTCTCCACCATTAACCCTTTCTCTTGTGCGCAAAGCCCATAAATACTTATTCTATATATAGTCCCATTTGTGTACAAATGCATCTTTCCTAGTTTTCCCCCCTACCTCTTCATACTGCACCTATATTTTTGTGTTAACTCAGGTTCAGGCATAACAGCTATGACAGCATCAGACACTTTACCTTCTGTCTTCATTTTGCTATAACCTATTGGCTAAAGATGTATGTCGCTTTGGGAGTGTTGCAGTGATGGAAAAAGACTCAAAGGGACAACAGTGAGGCAGGGGACACCAGCACACAGCCTATAAATAGAACCCAAATATACAAAAGCAAAAGCTTATGAAACATCCCTTGCACACACCTCTTTTATAACCAGTTGAGTAGGACTGGTTGATGAAATGAAAGAACCAACAATCCCTTCTCCACAAATGATTGATGGCAGCACAACAAGCCCCTGGCTACAGGTGCCTCAACATATTCTTGGGTGGTTCATTGTTGTGAGTCATTGGCCCACCATCACCAGGTCAAATGCTCGAAGCTCCTTTCCAAAAATGGTAATAAATTTGGAGCCATTCATATTCCCTCAGTTATAATGGGAGGAAATAGCTACAGCAGTTAAGCATTCAGTCTCTGAGCCAAAGCGACCCGAGTTCAAATCATGCTTTAGCCGCTTGTTGAGTACCAACAGTCAACGATCTTTTCTTATACCCCATTTGTCCAAGCCCTCGGCCACCTCGCTCCCTCACCACCACCAAGCACAGGGTGTCCGGGGACTACACAAGAGCAGACAGGAATCTGTTCTCCCTTTACCTGTCCATCTCCTCAGCTATGTTGCCGCCTTGAAGTTGAGCGCTCCTCATTCTCTCATTCCCTAGACTGCCGCGACTCTCCTCATATTCCACCAAACACTCCAGCTAAATTTACAAAATAACAGGCACGCTGCTGGAGTGGAACCAAGCACTTCCTTTCCCTAACAAGGCGGAACTAAAGTGAAAGTGCCAAGGTTGTTAGCAAATGACTGCCCTGTTACCATGGTAAAGCGGCTGTCGCCATCTTTATTGTGATCGATGATTCCTCGTGTCGGTGTAAGAATAAATGAATAATAAAGATTTCCACAAACTAAAAGCCTTCCTTCAAGTTAGTCTGGGCCGGCACAAACGTAGGTCGGAACGGAGTTATCCTCAGGAAGCAGCCCAGCCCGGAGTGGTTAATGCTTTCGTGGACTGATCGCTGCTGCTGACGGAATGACGCCAGGGGAGGGGCCATGCGTACGCCCAGGCCAGTTGCTTCCGGCTTACGCGCCTTACAGACGCGTGTTTAGCGCAGATCTCACGCGCCGTACGGAAGTGTGCTCTGGCGCACCGGAAGCGGCCGGAAGAGAGCGATGGCGGGTTTGACTGTGAGAGACCCTGCGGTGGATCGTTCTCTGCGTTCGGTGTTCGGTGAGAGGAATTCGTGGAGCCAAACATCAGGGAGGCGCAGAAAGAGACAGGGGCTACGAGGAATTACCCGTGCACCTCATGAATTGCCACAGGAGCTGGTTATGGGTTGGGCTTGCAGCTCTACCTGTCTATCTTGTGGGGCGGCCAACCTGGTGGACTCGCAGGCAAAGTGATGCCCCTTTCTCCTGAGGTCTCACAGCCTTTTTAAGATGTGGCTGAGAAAGTTAAACTAGCGTTCAGCTTCGATGCGTTTGTCTTTTCACGAGCTTCAATCATTGCCTGCAATTGAGGGCGCATGGCAACTGTCCCTACTACTTCTCACCCCCTTTCTCAGAATACAGACTATATGCTGAGTGTATAGATCCTTGTGTCCACTTGCCGCCCTCCATAAGGACTTTCCTCTGCTTTTTACCTTAACATTATCTAGTTAGATACCTGTAGCGGCCACCTGGCTTCTTAGGGTGAATTGTGAATGAATTTTTAAAATACCAAATACATTGGTATTTTTAGTTCTTATTGATAAGATTCGCAGATTTTCAGGTAAATACCAATGCCAGAGTTTTTCACCAAAGTTAAGGAAAATCATAACACTTGTCAGATAAGTCTACGAACTGCTACTAAGGAGTGCCTATACCTTTTATATTTACCCTTAGTGGTTTATTTGTTTTGTAATTAAAGTCAGCAGACAAAATTGAAATCTTATCTGAAGTACCATGGAACTGGGGTTGTAGGAACACAATTTTGAGGTAGTTATATTTTCAATGATAGAAGTAGATACTGGTTTACTTTCTCACCAGAGAAATGGGTTACAAACTCAAAAGTTTTCATATGTTGTCTATTTTCTTCGTAGTGGGCAACATTCCATATGAGGCTACTGAAGAGCAGTTAAAGGACATCTTTTCTGAGGTTGGACCCGTTGTTAGTTTCAGGTGAGATCCCCTTTGACTACTTGGGGTCTTCCTTAAAATCACAAATTTGGCCATTAGCAATAATGGCAAGGTTTTTACTGGTGACTTTTCACATTCTTCTGTTTTTTTGTAACAGTTTTATTCAGGTATGATTCATATACCATACAATCCACATTTATTTTTACTAAAAGATACTTTTTTTTCATTTAAAAAATATTTCAGTGAGGGGCATCTGGGTGGCTCAGTCAGTTAAGTGTGACTTCGGCTCAGGTAATGATTTCACGGTTTCAGTTCAAGCCCCACATCAGGCTGTCTGCTGTCAGCACAGAGTCCGCTTTGGATCCTCTGTCTCCCTCTCTCTCTGCCCCTGCCCCGCACACTCTCTCAAAAATAAGCATTAAAAAAAATATTTCAGTGGGGCAGTCAGAGTGATAAAGTTACTTGTCTTACAGTGTACCAAATTAGAACATGACAATGTTAGCAGGAAACCTATATGTGTGTAACATTTGTGTCTGATACTTGGTTCTGCTCTTCCAGGTTGGTATATGATAGGGAGACAGGAAAGCCAAAGGGTTATGGCTTCTGTGAATACCAAGACCAGGAGACGGCACTTAGTGCCATGCGAAACCTGAATGGGCGTGAATTCAGTGGAAGAGCACTTCGCGTGGACAATGCTGCCAGTGAAAAGAACAAAGAAGAGCTGAAGAGTGAGTATAAACCTTATTTGTATGCAACATGAGTTAGTAAAGACATATTGAAGATTTTCCATTTATGACATGTTTTAGCATCTAGTGAAATGGTTAGCCATGTAGCTTTTTTACTTGACCCACTTAAGGCGCCTGAGGCGCCTGTATTAAGTGAGTGTATTTCTTTGAGAAACAAAGTACAGTTGACTTTAGAACTCCCTCTAGTTGCCAAGGAGTTGATTTCTAGTTAAAGATGAATTCGGGCTCACTAAGCCATTAGTTGCACTAATAACTGGGTCATTAGTTTGCCACTGCTGTAACTGTTTGTCAGATCTGTACTTAGTGGGATTACTAAGGCATTCTCTTGGCTTTTTTCATGAAGTAACAGATGAGGAATTACATTTTGAAATTGGTATCTTTATTTTGCTTCTGAAAATTAGCATCTTTATCTATTGTTTTGCTTCTGAAATGAGTTGTCAAAAGAAATTGATATGCCCCATCCCTAATTTAGGTTAACATTGTCCACCTACGTGATCTTAGTCCCACCTTTCCTCTGAGAGCAGAAAATACACTCTGTCACTTTCCTCTACAGAAATAAGAGACTTGCAAATCACTTATTTCTCAGTTCCAGAGAATTTACAGTTATCAACGGGTCCTGGAAGGGAAGTAGCCCTGGAAAGTAGATACTTGAAATGATTTAGCTCTTAATTTTGCCTCCTTAACTTTTTGTACTTTCTTCCTGATCAGGCCTTGGCACTGGTGCCCCTGTCATTGAGTCACCTTATGGAGAGACCATCAGTCCTGAGGATGCCCCTGAGTCCATTAGCAAAGCAGTTGCCAGTCTTCCACCAGAGCAGATGTTTGAGCTGATGAAACAAATGAAGGTGGGAGGAGGCATTAGGTTAAGAACAAATCAAATCACAGCAAATTTTCAAGGAGTTAATTGATAAAGTTAATGGAAATGACTCCCTGAGCTCAAATATAAGGTGTGCCTGTTAATCACCATTTCTTGCACCTTTGATATGCCATATGTCCATAGCATATTTTACATTTTGTGCAAGGAGCTTTCCATTTTTGTACACGAACACAACTATACAGTCTGGCTTTTTGTGGCCCATAGATATCAGATGCAGATATTCAAATGTGACTTTTTTCCTAAATGGTGGTATTATGGTATTTGAAATGCCTCTTTCTTCTCTTGCCTGTCATGACCAAAATTTTATGTGCTATGCAAAAACCAATGATAGCTTAAAAAGCTTCTTGAATATTACATTTCTCAGATGAGAATGGCTCTAAATCACTATTAATTTCTAAGCAATAAGTATTGAACCTGATGATGAATCTGTTTATCTTCTCAGCTCTGTGTCCAGAATAGTCCTCAGGAAGCACGGAACATGTTGCTTCAGAACCCTCAACTGGCTTATGCTTTGCTACAAGCACAGGTAGTGATGAGAATTGTGGATCCAGAGATTGCCCTGGTGAGTGCTGCTTGTTTTTTATGGAAATGCCACAATAAACTTTGAGTGGGGTAGGAACTACTTGATTGCTTTGTTAAACAGCTCATAGATTTGTCTTTTTGTTTTTTAGAAAATTCTGCATCGTCAGACAAATATCCCAACACTGATTGCAGGCAACCCTCAGCCAGTCCACAGTGCCGGCCCTGGCTCAGGATCCTCTGTGTCAATGAGCCAGCAGAATCCTCAGGCCCCTCAGGCCCAGTCTTTGGTAGGGCTTTACCTCTTAATATTACTTTTACCTGTTTTAGAATGCCATTTTCATTTTAGGAAGATATATTGAAAGAAGAATAGTCAGGAGTTGAAGATGATAATTTCAATTTCCAGACATGATAGCAATTTTCAGTTTGCAGGGTATATGGCCTCTGAATGAATATAGATTCAGTGCCAAGTTTGTAAAACAAAAAGGTCCTTTCTGTGTGCCCTTTTATAGAAGCTAATCTTTTGTTTACGTGCATGCATGGTACTGTGGTTGACAGTTTGTTATTCTACATAGGTCTCATTTAGTACTTCTAGCAATTGTATCAGGTTGGCACTCTTATTATCTCCTTACCAGTGAAAGTGTAAAGCTTGCTTTCCAACCATGACACAAAACTTTGAAGCCATAAGAAATAAATACATTGGAAAGCTGAAAATTTTCTGTATAAAGAAAAAGAAATAGGGACGCCTGGGTCACAATATAATAGTGAAAAATTGAAACATCCTAAATGTACATCAGGGGGAGAATGGGAAAAATGTATATTTATCCACTGTGTCCCCATGAATGACTTTCGAAAACATAATTCCATATAAGCAGGTAAGATGAACTAGGATACAATGCTATCAACACAGATAACCCAAACATTCTAAAAGTGAAAATAAGTGGATGTAGAAGCCTTCTCAAAATATGGGATATATGTGTTTGCATATATCCCAAAAATATGCTGAAATGTGTTTAGTATGTATGTTTAGTTTGTAATGATTTATATATGATTTCAAAACATCTGTAAAAATTCTTCAACGTTTATTTATTTTTGGGACAGAGAGAGACAGAGCATGAATGGGGGAGGGGCAGAGAGAGAGGGAGACACAGAATCAGAAACAGGCTCCAGGCTCTGAGCCATCAGCCCAGAGCCCGACGCGGGGCTCGAACTCATGGACCGCGAGATCGTGACCTGGCTGAAGTTGGACGCTTAACCGACTGCGCCACCCAGGCGCCCCAACATCTGTAAAAATTCTTAAGTGGTTGTCTTAAGAAGGAGATATAGGGAGGCACCTGGGTGGCTCAGTCAGTTAAGCCTCCGACTCTTGATTTTGGCTCAGGTAATGATCTCATATGAGGTCATGGGATTGAGTCCTGCAGTGGGCTCCCTGCTCAGTGTGGATTGGGATTATCTCTCTCCATGCTCACTGTGCTTGAGATTCTCTCTTTCTCTCTCTCTCTCTCTCTCTCTCTC